TTTTCATCGCATTTTCGATTCCGACAAATTTTTACGAATTTACGAATTATTGATTTAATAATTTAATCGCAAACAATGCAATGTTCTGTAAAATATTTTATAAAATGGAAAATATTTTATGGAAAAAAAGAAATTCAATTATTTGTTATTCAAATTTATGGAAATAATTTCCGCGAATGATCGGTTTCCTTATACGCTTTGTTTCTTAGAAAATAGATATTGGATGAATATGATTCGCGATGGCCGCAACGAGTGAATTTTATACACGAATAAATATGCCATCCACGAGCCCATCCAGCGAACAAAGTCTCCAAAACTCGATAAAAGCGTGGTTTCCGGTGGACGAGGGACGAGATTCGAAACGTAGGAGGGATCGCTTCCACTTAAATATTCATATAAACGAGCGTTTTGTGCCTGAGACTTGGTTCAATATGCCATTTTGTTTAGGAAGAAGGAAATACTATCGAGCCCACGCAATTTAAGCGGCTACTTGCGTTACGCTCTCGAACGCCCACGATTCGCGATTATTAAATAATAAGGAGAAGTGAATGGAGCTGGATAAGGAGACTTTCGTCGCGTGATATCAGCTTGGAACGTGCAAACTTGTTTGCGGAAAATGGAATGACACCTACGAGTACGTGGTGTGCTTTAATACAGGAAGTTGGCTGTCGGATAAGCGCGAAGAAGGAAATAACTATAGGAAATATTCATTTACAATAATACTTGATAGTTTCTTATGTTTATCACAATTGTGTATCTTAATTATTAAATTAATTTAGATTAGACTGTTTAAAATTTCAGAGACAAGTATTACTACATATAATTATATTTGTTCACAATCATTTTTCACTTATATTTGAAAAATATTGAAAAACAATTACGTATCAATAATATAAAGAATTTGTTTGAGACATCATTTATCAATGACGAATTTACAAATCGAAGAACATAATCATTTACTATGAAAATTATGTCGCAAAAGAAATAGGAAATCGAGAAAAGGAAAATAATTAACTTTCTTTCTATCCTAATGTAGATTCAGAAGCATGAAACAAAATTAATATCGTACGAAACGATTACTTTTTTAACATAAAAAAAGTTATCAAAATTCTGTACTGTATCATAAGTACGAATAAATTCAATTGGCAAGTTCAAGGGAGGCACGGTCGAGAAATATTATCGATGAAAGTTCTCTATACAATCACAAAGATACAAGTTCAAGAGAGACCATTGGAGATTTCCGGAAACAGAGTTGGTACGACCGCAACTACACCGCAAATCGTACTCTTAGCATTGGATAAAACGAGAATAAATTCCTGAGTGGAGGACTCTGGTGTTACGTCTAGTATAACTGTTCATCTGGACGGCACAGAGGACGACAAACATCCCTGATAATGGTGCCCAATTGCCCAAATGACCGGTCATTATCTTGACGGGACGACTGTAACTGTATGTATCCTGTACGAAAAATTAATAAATTTCTTCTTCCCTTAATCGCGCGCGCCTCTTCGATAACATCGAGAGTAACGGGGTTTGTGCAATAATAAAAGTTCATTAGGATAATGCGAGCTATGCAGTTCGGTTTGATGTCGAATGCGATTGCCTGAAATGTGTTTCACCATTACTGAAATAGGTTTTAGAACGGAGGTCAATGTTTGGGCGTGGTTTCATGAGGTTTTTGTTTCTTTTAGATGGTATATTTGATGGTGTAGATTGTTTAAAAATGGATTTAAATTATTGTAGAGGATAAAGTAATTATTTCGAATAAAATTAGAAAAACAGATAACTTGGATAAGATATAATACGAGTAAGAATAAATTAAACTGATGATCATCTTTAATTGTGAAATTTATCTGAAAGATAAAAAAAATGAAAGAAAGATCGAAGATAAAAGTATACGTATTTTTATGATTCTATCAACAGAAAATTTAGACCGAGTGCCTTGGAGACGAGGAAAAAAAGAAAAGAAATTTTATTGCAACAATAATCGTTGCGGTTTAAAAGAGTGAGGTGAAAGTGCGTCAAGTCTCATAGTCGTAAAGTCAAAGAAGCAACGAAAATAATGAGCCAAAAAGATCAATTCCAGATGGTTTTTTTACCCCAAAGGTGTTTCGACCCTTCGAATATGTCCCCGGTGAATCACCACCAACTATTCGAGGTCGAATTCTTGGAGGATACACGTACCCCTTCTCTGGTATGCGGAGATACTTCCTCTTCTCGGAAGAAACTTTCATATTTTACGCTTGCAGACATTCTTTTCAATTTTCTGATCTTGTGAAATTGTGCATATTTTACTTGTCTCATTCTAGCCACACATTCATAAATCGATCTGTTATTCGTGTTAAAATAAAAATTGAAATAGGAGGATAGATCTTAAGATTGATAAAAAAAATTTCAATTTACTGGTTCATGAAATTAAAATTAAAATTAAAATTACATAATTTATACTATATAATGACAATAATTTAATCTATCATCAAAGTTTCAAAAATTATTAAGTCTTTTACATATTTATTATAAGAAGAAAAGGGAAATTTAAAGATAATTTCCCAAATAACTTTTATCAAATCATATAATTCATATTATATATTCCAACTTCAATTCTCTCAAACTCTATATTTTAAACCTCTCTTGCACTCCAAAACGACCAAGAACGAACTCAATAATCCTCCCTCGTCGTTGCCTCAAAGGTTAGCCCCGAAATCGCACGGATGGAACGAAAAAAATAAAAAATTGCAAGGAAGAAACAGAGTGTCGGCAACCCGGAGGCCAAGCCCTATTTATACGTTCCTCGAAACTTTCAGCTCGAAACAGGGTATCCTGTTGGCAATTAACACACTAGATTGCTAATTAACCCCGTGGGAACACCTGGAAGGATCACGATGCGTATTTTTCTCAACATCAACAACATCAGGAGGGAATAGACGTCGCGACGCGACGCGACGTTTCGTTTCGTTTCGTTCCATGTTTTCCAAGAAGTCTTACTCGCTGTGCGTTTACTACAATGAACCTGAGGAGGACGTGGAGGGGCGTTTTCCGTTCCCTCGACCAATCAGGGAACATCTGGGAACGTGTTCCTTTGGAGGAGAAAGGTCTGGGGGCCCCGTTACCATCGCTCCCTCTCTTTATCGAAGTTCAATTGCACGGGACTTGCGTGTAGATCTTTCGATTACGCGATGATTTTGATCTATTTTGGTCGACTTTAACACGCGCTCCAATGAAGTAATTTTTATGACGAGATAGAGGAAGGGGATGTACTTTATAGAATATTAAAAATTGTGTTATTTGTAACACAAAAAGGAAATGATTTTGATATTATATTGAAGTTTCTTACTTTGAGAAACTTGACGATATTTATATATATATTTCAAATTCATCGAGATCAATACTGAGAAAGTTAAGCTGCAGATCTATAAATTGAATTAACGTATATATAATTATATAAAATTAAAGATAGAAGAAATACAAGAAGAAGAAGAAGAAGAAAAAAAGGTGTCTTTGTTGACCTTTTCTGCAATTATTCAATAGGATAGAAACTTTGACGATATATTTCAAGTTCATCAAGATCGATACTGAGAAAAGAAAGTTAAGATTTATAAATTGATAAATTGAATTAACGTATATATAATTATATAAAATTAAAGACAGAAGAAATACAAGAAGAAAAAGAAGAAGAAGAAGAAGAAGAAGAAAAAAGGTGTCTTTGTTGACCTTTTCTGCAATTATTCAATAGGACTAAAATTAGACTTAAAAGAACCAGTTTGACTTTACCAGTTTCACCTTCGTGCTAATGTAGAAACTGGTTTCATCAGTGAACCGAAAGAGTCTAACAAAACACTCGAAGAACTACGATTCACTTTTGAATCTAACGCTCTTTTGAATCGTCCTTTTTGAAATCTTTTTTGCATAAAAAAATCCGAAGAAATTCGCCCCAAAAAATTCAACTGAATTGCAGATAGATTTTAAAATTCTAAAAATACAATGGAAATACTTCATCACTTTTCATCAAAAAAACTCGTTCCAATCTTTCTCCTTATCCAACCAACCAATATTCAATGCCAGCCAGCAATAAACCAAGAGAAATATTCCTTTTTCCCTAAGATTAGATTACCTATGAGAGATTGACGCTGGAGACAGTCGCAAGGCAATCCTTATTCGCCTGGAACCCTCGAGAGGGTTACGGCCTATGCACTTTCGTCCCGTTTCCTCCATCTCGCAGTTTTCATTATCTTTGTGGGAGCCCGCGAGATCGCTCGATGCGACACAACCTCTTCGACAAGCTGCACGCGAAAACCACTCAAGGCTGTCCGCTTTTGTTGGCCAATCATCGAAGCTCGTCGATACGTAAAGATGTCAAGGCGGTTTTTAATGAAACCGAGATATCTCTATAGTGTTCTCGCTGCTTGTGTTAAATAAAATCGATTTATGGGAGCGTGGAATTTTGAAAATTTTTGAATTTTAATTGGAATGAAGATTCAACTTCTCGATTTGACATAATATTAAAGGTTAATATATATATATATATATATTTTTAATTCTGTGAAAAATTATTTGACTTGATCTTGATTGATTCTTATTGCTATTCTATTATAGTGCATGGAGATGTGTAATATTTTGAAAACATATTGAAAAATTGAGGTACCAAAAATTGATATATAAAAATGTTGATTACAACAACTATTCAAGACAGGAAATCTAATCAGTGAAGCGATAGATTTCCAAACGATGACCTAAGGGCAGCAACGGAATTCCACGCATTCCTCTCATCCTCGTTTCATTATGGATAAATGAAAGAAGAAAATGTTCCTCTTTCACGGACAATTTGTCCGTTTCATCATGGATTTTAGTAAATAATATCCGGTGACGAGACAGTCTTCTATCCAAGCATTTTTTCTCAAGGAACTATGTTTAGTCAGGTTCCCCCGATGCCGGATCTTTAATGAGCTTCTCATTCTTTTTTCTCGTTTTACACGTTGGGAAAAAAGATCCATCTAGCTTACCTTGAGGGCGCAGAAGATGCAGGATTCCCGCATGCAAGCGTGTCCGGAAAGCTCCCTGAAACTCCGCCGGAAGATATCGAGGTGCCATAACACCTGAAACGTGAGAAAATTGATTTTTTTTTTTTTAAATAGGCAAAATCGACACGAAATTTGACAAAATCGCAAATTTTTGTGCAACGTAACAACAAGCTCTTAAATTTGAAATTTTGAAGATACATACTTGATGATAATATGTTGTAAATATCGAAAATTCTCAAGTTTTTCCTTGCTTCGAAACTTTTGTTTCGGATACAGATGAAAATACTGTACTCTAATGAAAATTTTACAGTATTTTTATATATATCATGTTTGTTAAAATTGAATCGTTATTTTATCTAGAAATTTTTTTATCGATTGAAAGTTTGCACGATGTTATGTTAACACTGACATCCATTAATTGGAAATTTGGACTGATAAAAAAAAATTCTTCTATTCCAGAATTTTATATAATAATTGATAAAATAATTGAATTAAAAGATAATTTCTAAGAAACTTCATCATTAATAATAAATTTCTCTGTTAAACCTCTGACATTTCCCTCGGTATTATCGCCTCAATGACGCATCCTCATCACAGTGCATAGTAATTAATCTCTGAGAAGGCGTTATACACGTTGAACAAGTGAAAAAATAAATAAATAAATAAATAATACATGGGTGTGTGCGCAATATGAGGAAGTATGTAAATGCGACAACGTGTTGGGTGGAACGAGCAACATCTAACCACGCACGATAGTAACCTACCGTATCGTGAACGCATTATTATTCCGAGGGAAAGTAAATCACAATTTCCGAGGGCCATGTCCTGTCTCATAGCGGAACATTATTTTCGCCTTTCCGGCCTGTCTGACTAAATATCCGGTGTATTCCTAAAAATCATTCACCTCAACTGGCAATAACGAAATCGTAATTTTATATCATTTTAAAATCCTATTGAAAGAAACGATAATTAATTCGATATTGTCATAATATTTTTTTTATGACTTTAATACAGTTTTCTTGGATATGTTGGATATGTTTTTACAATTAAAAATTGTAATTGGCGTAATGATAATTCTCTAATATTTTAATATTTTAATATTTTAATAATTTTATAAAAATGTGTCCAATTAACGTTGATATCGTTGGACAAGTCAATTTGAAGCGATACAATTTTTACAACGATAATCGAATGGAGAGAAAAGTACAACGAATAAATTGTTTTTCGTGCAATTAAGTTAATTGGAGAACTCGAGAGATCGCAACGAAACTGCGTTTATAACAGGATTTAATTATCTTTAATGTAATTTTGCCTGGAAGAAGAAAGGCGGGACTTGGAACTAGCTGGCCTCTTTTGTGGGTCAGGTTATTTACGAAATTTATTGGAAGTTAATTCGATTCATTTGTACGCCAAGAGGAACAGGGTTGATTCGATTAAACCGGGAAGAATTGGCATTGGCATTGTAAATTCTAATTAAATCCTTTCCTTCCACGTCTCCACCGAGGACACTCGAATATGAAGCGTGGAAACTGTTGAAAGTACACTTAGCGTGTCTGTAACCCTTTATGAATATTCACCTGGAAACAAATTAATCAATTCCTCATAGTATCCTTGACTTCTTAAATTGAAAAAAAATGAATTCAGATTTCAAAGATACTCTCCGATTTATTCTTGCTCGTTGAAATGAAATGCTGAAATGATTCTGTTAGAAATTAAAAATATTCCATTCGAACTAATCGTAATAATATCTTCTTTTTAATAATTTTTCCAACGTATCTAATCTTTTTGAAAAAAAATTCTCTTTCAGAATTATATTTATCAACCAATGTGTATATTATATATTAATATATAGATAAAAGAAAAAAAGAATGTTGATCCATGAATTTATGGAATGATTTCATTCATTCTGTATTAACAGATGGATCTCTTATGAATGTCATCCTCTTTTTTTTCTCTTTCTCTCTCTCTTTCTTTAAGCCTTATCGTAAAAGGAAGATCCAGAAGTGAGGTGTGCATGTATATAGGCGGGAAAGTGTTTTCATTCAATGGATGTGTTTTGAAAGACTCGTGGGATCCAACAGGTGAGCCAGGGTTCTTCTTCCATTAGGAGCGTATCAATATGGCTTTCAGGTCAAGTCGTAGTATAATACTTGAAAGGCAAATACATGATTTAGTTATTACGAACATCTCTCTCTCTCTCTCTCTTGAAAACGTAAAACGGAATATGCATTGCAATAATATAAAGAGGCGCTTTATGGATTAAGAAAAAAGAGTATGTAAGCAAAAATGATACGTAATAAAATACGATATTTGTATTTTTATAATCCGTGTGTATCAATTATGAAAACATAATGAAAGATAACTATTTGAGATTCGAATAAAGATTCGAGTAAAGATAGAAGACTGATGTAGTAAAATTAGTATAATTACGACAGAGTTTTATTGTTATATCTATTGTACGAGCAATACTGGTTACGCCTCGATACATATTAATTGACACCTGTGATCAGCGTGTGAAACAATTAATGAGGAAACGTTACGGTATATATTCAGTTAATTTATTCCGATTGTCCAGATGGTTATGCACATAATGATGAAGTAACCCATTGCAAAAGTCAATCGATAATTTCCTTTCACTTGATCGAATCATCTTTTTTTTTTTCCTTTAAAGCTAAAACTTTTATCTTTATAATTAATTTATATCTTACAAATTATCGTTAATTAATGAATCTCTTTGTAACAAATATCAACATTTTTTCCAGCTATTAAACGAATGAATTCGTAATGAAAGGAATTAAATTCACACTTCACAAACACAGACTGTGCTAAATACCTAATTATTGTTGCATGACTTCGAAACCTTCGTTTCGTGAAACGCACACTTGAAAAGAACTCTTTTAATTCTTGTTTCTCTACTACATTTCAGTATAACTTAAAATGTACCGTAACTCGGAATTTAATCGAGCACTGGAAACTCACGTTCTTCATATAGAACGCTATAAATCCTGTTCTGTAAATTTTCGAAGATAATTTTCTCCATACAATTCATTCCAAAATTGGAAAAATGAAATATTAACCACTACTTTTTTTCTTTTCTTCTCACATTCAAATCTCGCAGATTGTAACAAAAATTCCTTCAAATCCAAACGACGTTTCTTTTCTCCACTCGTTCCTTTCAATTCTGTTGTCAAAAAAAGAGACAATGGAAAAAACCCTTAAACCCTTCACACAGTGCTTGCCGCGTATTAATTCGCCATGATTTCATCATGAGAGCGGCTCGTTTCACACCGACGTGTACCCGATTTGCATGCGTAACCGACAATTTCACTCGATTTCCATACCACCATAATCGCGAGATCCATCTAAATGGAAAAATCTGTGCTGATGCGGAAACGTGTTCGATCGAGAGTTTGCTCAAAGGAGAAAAAAAGAAAAAAGAAAAAACGGTGTTCATTCACGATTACAACGATGAAAGGTGACGGGAAAACGAGAGGAAAATGGATCGCGCAACTCGGCCGCATAGCGCTCGAGTTTCTTGCGACTTAATGAAGCCTTGTGTTGCCTATTTCTATTATCGATGTATCGAGCGAATATAGCCTCTTGCAGTTCGGTTTGACTCCTTTCGAAACCGCGAACGGGTTCCATTGAACGTGTGCCGACTCGAGTTCTCTCTGTTTCGGGCCCTCGTTCGCGTTTAGATTGTGTACGTGATAGAAACGAGAAAGAGAAATTCTTGAAATCATTTCGAAGGATTGTTTTTATGCATTTCGTGTGGAATAAAATTTCTGAAAATCGATGTTATTTTGTTAAATTGATGGACGAATTGTGTTCGAAGTGTTTTATATGTTAAATGTAATCTCGTTGTGCGATTGAAATCGGGTTATTGTTCAAATATTGACAATTCAATTTATATTGATTAAATTTTTTTTGATAAATAATATCACGTGTAATTTCGTTACGAAACGAAGCCTAAAGCTCGTTTCGTTTTCACATCACGAAAAATTCGAGCGCGGAGACACCGATTGTGAGAGAGACTTTATAGAGAAAGCTTCACGCGTCCGTGAATGGAAATTTTTGAAAGTCAATATTATCGTTTATTGCAAAAATTAAATATATTCAACTACTGTTTCGATCGATTGCAATCTCACAAATAACGAAATAACAAAATTCTACTATTCAATTAGAAACTTATTAAAAATTAATTTAAAAAAACTATCTAAATACCGGAAACAAAACCTGGATATATCAAATTCCCAATATTAACCGCATATCTCCATACTTTCAGAAAAACCCATCTACACCTCCAACCAGCCCAAACCACAACCACAACCTTGTCCCCAAAATTCCATCCACGACGTGAAAATCCTCTTTCATCTGTGCGAACAAATTCCATCCGAACAACAAATTCTCCATCCACGAAAAACGAAGCTTGTTTATATATGCTTTGAATAAACCCAACCTGGCCATGGAATCAACAGGTACACAGCCTCGGGATCGAGATACATGTAACGGTATACGCGTTATTCCAGCGCGCATCGAGCTGCGCCATAGAGAAGTCTTATGCACCGGCGATATAAAAGCGAGGCGATCCACGATACCATTGTACCTATAACTATAAATACAAGCTTGCAGAAAAATTCAAACCTTGGCGATCTGGAAGAGGGCCTGCCTCCTCGGCCTTTGCTCCTGCTTCATCCTCCTTCTTCCTCACCACCAGCACAGGCGCGACCCGCTCTTTCCTCGAACCACGGCGTTTCGCGACTTCTCCTTCACCGTCCAACAATTCCTCGAGATCATCCACGATCGATTTTCAACGGGCTGATTTCAAAGGTAACACTGCTCATGATTCAGCCTTTTCCTTTCCTTCCTTTTCTTTCCTTCTTTCTTTCTTTCTTTCTTTTTTTTAACCAACAACACGAGCGCACAAAATGACACACGAGGGTTGCGCGCAAAGCAACAAGTACTCTCTTAGCCGGGCGTCGATGCAACAATGCCCGGATAGGGCTGGGACCGGTCCGCGCCGACACCAGCGCCCGTGGGACTCCTGCGGACAGGTTGGGAAACGAAACGAGCAC